AAGAGCGTCGTATGAGCGCATTGGAATTCCGGAATGCTGTTTCAGTTCTCAGTTGCTGTGCATATTTTTTTTACTCGTCTTGTTATGAAATCACGCGAAGCAGGTATGGGTGCACTGTTACGTGCAAGTTGATGGACAACTTTATGTGTACAGTTAGCGGAATTCCCCCTATACTCATCCATCTAGAGCTTGTAGAAAAAAAAAGGGGGGGGGGAGGCTTAATTGTACTACAACTCTGAATCGTGTTAGCTTTCATATATTACAGAAAGCTAGGCGCTCCTACTTGTTGCAGTCAGTTGCTTGTTCTTTAAACCATTTTGCGTGACAAGTATTCATTCATCTTCCTTTTGTGGTTTCAAAAGCACAGCATTCTATACTCAAATGTGACAATCTTTTAAGCTAGTTAATGTTCAAAATTCCCACTTCTGCTAACAAGTTTTCAACACTGGATGAGAATGCATGTTCTTTGTGTTGTCAAATTTTTGTATCTCTAGTCGGTGTTCATCAACACTATCTTTTCAAGCACAACACTAATAATTGGCACATCTATGTCGTGAAAGCTGAAAGGCAGGTTAAAAAAAATGTCTAGATTAATCACTTCAATCACTTCATTTTTTTGTTGATTAACAGATTGATCGGTGTGGGTGTTTTTTAAACTCCTTGACAAATATACCACAACTTTACTTTTCGGTACAGTATCACTGCTGTTGATACTAAAACGTCTCTCATAAAGGCACATGTTTTTGTGGGTTCGTAGTAAAAAGAACTGATGCAGAAGTAGTCACCAAGCTTCTAATGAGTAGCATGATAATGATATAAAGTTCCCAATGATGAAAGTATAAGTAGAATTACCGCTGTTAACATTTCGGCCATTAATTTTGTTCTAGGCATGTTTGTAGACAGACAGTCAAGTTAGGATCGTTCAGTGAAGTCCAATTTCAGGATTGAAATACATGACTGGATACCTTGGCTGGTAATGTGCAAGGGTGCTGCTGGTCTCAACCAGACTCGGGTTCGTCACATTGTAGCGTAGAAAGGAGAATGGGAACTTAATTTTGTATGAGAACCGTGCTAGTTATAGTAAGTCATGGGTTACTACTATCCTTGAAAGGAAGCGTGAGTGGGTAGGGGATTACGAGTTTTTGCGCATGTTGGTATTTGTTGCGTCGAGGTATGTGAACAGTGGACCCCCCACAGTTTATCTTACATTCATTGTTTTTAGTGAGCACGCAGTTGTTGCTAAATGTTGAGCTGTGTGGTTTCCATTGTCCTTAATATAATTGTACATGTTGTCTCTCCTCATTCTCTCTGAATGCCAATGCACAGACTGCATAGCAAATAGAAACAGGAACAAAAAAAAAAAACAGTGACGAACGCTGCCCGTTCATCTTTATTTTTTTTTTTTTCATTTTGTGCATTCAATATTCATGAAGATTATACTGCGGTGTATGAAACGTGAATTCTCTCAACAATGTGCACTGTGAAACTGCTGTGAACATTTGAGCTTAATGAATCAAACTCGGCATTGCATTACTTCATTTTAGTGTAACAGGCACAAACTATGTTTCACAGCGCGGGACTTATTACACGCAAAGAACAGTCCTACGTGCAAGCATTTACTTTCCATGCACAGTGGACCCAGCATAATGAACATGAGTGAAAACAAATTATTTAGAATTTACTTACCAGAGTAAATGTTTAACCCCTTGGGGTGTATGATGGAGTGTCTGCAGGTGGGTCAAATTTGCAAAATGTAATTCCAAGGCAATCGATATTACATACTAAAAAAAGGAGAGGATGTAGTGTGCTGTTTTGTGCATGCTTCAGTAGTTATTCCTAATTGGCTTGTAACTTAATTATACTGCAGTCAGTCATCGCCTGTTTTTGCCTAGGACGTTTCACTCATAGCCTCAAAATGCATCCACAATTTTTTTGGTAGTATTCAACTCAAACAAACAAAAATGGCACTTTTTGTGGGTCTTGAACGTAGCATGTTGAACAACTCGTCAAGCATTGTAGTGCTTTTGCAGTGTTATCGGCACCAGTCATACACGGCAGATTGCAGTGATGTCAAGACACAATCACTGAGCAGAATGTTCAGTTTCTCCTGTGCGAAATTTTCTTTGCTCTTACTTTGCCACTAGGTGAAAAAAAAACTCACAAGAATAAGCTGTTTCAAAGTATCATGCCTGAAGGGCTCAATATAGTATATTTTTAGCAGATGTCAAATATATCTCGAAGCTACCTCGTGCAATACATAATTTTTGGGCTGTAACGTCCCAAAACCACGATATAATTGTGAGGGATGCTACAGTGGAGAGCTCCGAACATTTTGGCCACCTGGGGTTCCTTAACACGCACCTAAGTCTAAGTACACTAGTCTGAAGCATTTTTGCTTCCATTCAAAATGTGGCTGTGATTTGATCCCATGACCTTCAAGTCAGCAGTTGAATATCATAACCACTGAGCTGGGGTAAATGAGACTTTCGCCCCATCCTGTGTCCAGGAGGTGGTACTTCTTAGGATGCTTTTGAGGAAGTTCTCCGTACTGTACTGTACCGCAACGAAAGCTCTACATCTGTACGTTTTCCCTATATGTTGGATATAACAAAGGTGTAATACGATTTCGCTTGGACGAGGTGTAGCTGCATAAAAGTGCCTGCACTTCCATCCAGGCTGTTAGGTGGTAGGCGGACAGCAGCGGTTGCGGGAGGCTTCCACCTGCAGAAGCCGCCACCTCCGTGTGAGCTGTTGCAGCTTTGCCCCCTTCACCATGGCAACGGACAACTGGAGTCTCCTCCATCGGACTTGCGTTGCATCCGTTGGCGGAGCCGCTGCACAGCCCGTCTGGTAGCAGGAAAGGCAGCGGGGAAGATGCTGTGACCACTTCGGACAGTGCAGGGTGAGGTGTTACTATAGCAGTCGGGAACAAGTTTGCAAGGCAGAGGACAGTTTCACCTCAAATGTAAATGCACATCATCCCGCACCAACGAGCTGGGGCTGTAACAGGTGTCACCAGGCAGATGGTTGGGAGCCCTGCCTTTTGAGAACATCACTGAGTACATGAGCAGAGACTATAGCAGACTTTTGTTAAACTAAACTGAAAGGGAACTGAAAATGTGCTGCGTTTAACAGAAGTTTGCCGAGAGAAGGGTGCAGAATCCAAGTATGCAACCAATCATACTAGGGGCAGCTGTTCCGTTTATCGTACTCTTTGCTTGTTTCCCCTTCTTTTTTATTGCATTGTTTTGTTTGCCATAGCGTATATTTTCCTGTTGTGTGTGATTCAACTTCTTTGCAAGTGTGTGATTAAACTTCGTTGTGAGGAAGAATCAATCAACAATTTGAACACTAAGGAAATGCTGTAAACCCCCAGTATATGAAAATATATTAAATGAAACTGCTCTGTAAACTGAACATAATGTAGAACAGCTCTCCTGTTTTCTTTGCTCCTCTGCGCTGTTCTATGTCAAGTTCCGTTTAAGGATCAGTTGTGTTTTCGTTCACTGAGGATCATAAGTCTTTTGAGTTATTGATTGAATCATCCTCGTGTTTCCAATCGATAGCTTCCTGGTCAGTTCAGTTAGCGGAGCATCCACACCAGGAAGGCGCTGGTCCTTGGTTCAATCCCCAGACCAGGATCCAACTTTTCGGCTGCTAATCTGTGTGGGTTTTCTCGTGGTGGTGTGCTAAAAATGGGCGGATTGGAAATCTTTTTTCCGCCTTAGTCACGGCGGAAAATGCGTGCTGTGCTTCAGTCATCTGGTAGGGGCCCATCCAGCCTTCTTAAGTTTTATTCGACTGAAGTGATGAGGAAGCTTCAAGGCCTTGATATTCTTTGAGATGCCGAGTTCGACCGTTAGTCGCATTGACTGGGTTTCAATTAGCGAGAGCAGAATGCAAGGCAATGTTTGCGTTTTCAGATTCAGTTAAGTGTCTGAGTGTATAATAGCCTTTTCGGTTGTTTCTTTGTTCAAAGTATTCGTGTCTCATTGATTTATCTATTTTTTAGTTGCTTTATAATGTAAAAGCACATGTTGGATTTCCAGGCACTGAAGTTTCATGTGCACATGCATTGAAAAGAGGACACTTGGCGAAAATCGCCACACGTAAGAATAACTAGGTTATAGTAGATAAAAAAATCACAATATTAGAATAATGAAATAACACATTTAACAAATTTCAGTCACAATGGCAAAGTCGAAAACGTGCAAAGTGAATAATTGCTACTATCAAAATGGTTAATTAATTGTCCCAAAAGTGTTAGAATAATAGATCGTTCAGTACACTGGAAACAAAAACATTAAGGTGACAAATATTATAAGGAAAAAAGTAACAAATCGTAGAACCAAAATACTTGGGGACTGGCTGTCTTGTGATCACCGATCTTTGAAATGAAGAGGGTATGGTTAGCTTTTGTTTGATATAGCTGCCTAGCTATATGAACTGCCTCGCAGCGGTGGTCTAGTGGCCAAGGTACTCGGCTGCTAACCCGCAGGTCGTGGATTCGAACCCCGGCTGCGGCGAATGCATTTCCGATGGAGGCGGAAATGTTGTAAGCCTCTGTGCTCAGATTTGGGTGCACGTTGAAGAACCCCAGGTGGTCGAAATTTCCGGAACCCTCCACTACGGCGTCTCATAATCGTATGGTGATTTTGGGAGGTTAAACCCCAGATATCAATCAATCAATTAGCTATACAAACTCTCCTATAGCATCAAATGATGCTTGTAAACATGAACACTTCTTCAGTTAATTCACATTTGTGGGAATCGGGCATTAAATGCAGAACTATTTGTGGATTGATCAAGCTATTGTAATGTACACATTTTGAACTGTATTTGAAAAGTAAATGCCATCTTTTTTTTTTCTGCTATAATTGTTTTGCCACTGTAGCATCTGTGTCACTCGTCTCACACAAACCTTTCACTGCAGGTCACCTTGCAGACCTTCGATTATTCCAGTAGCCTGCCAGAGCTCTAGTCCGACCTGTGACTCGCAGGACTACGGAAAGCACCACCACCAAGTTTGCGGACGATGGCAAGATTGTGTTGGTTCCGAGCTGTGAAGACTCGCACGGGTCGGGAGCTTCAGGCATTCCATGCAAGTCGGTAGAGTCCAGTCCAGTCAAGCAGTCTCCTAACAGCGCAACACCTGATGCGAGTCCAGGCATGCCCACTTCGTCAACTCTTCAGGAACTTGGTTCCAGTTTACACGATCCAGAAGGCTCTGCTACGGCAACACTTAAATCACCAAAACGGGAGGAGGGGAGAGTTGCAGTAGATGTGGTGGACTCTGCCTCGAGGCCGACCCAGGAGAGGCCCGCGAACTCACCAGTGACATCATCGTTGAGCAATGGCTTTCTTCACCACGCCGAGGCCACTGCCGTCCTGGAAGTCGAGAGGGCTGCTGGTCCTCAAACTCCATATAGGGACAGCATTTTCGAACCGCTTCAAAATGGGAAGTTGCCTGAACAGCCGGCACGTGCGGGCTTCTTTACTCACTCCAGTGACGCGAAACTTTCATCAGAGTCGCCCGCCGTGAGGCCGGCTACTACTCCTCCAGAGTCACCGAGAGAAAACGGAAAACCATGCTGCAACGGGAGACAGGAAATACGGACGCTAGTCGCTAGCCCAGCCGTCGTCGGGAGTAGTCCGGCAGCTCGGTCTAGTGTGGCGTCACCCGATACAGTGTTGGGGACAGCTGGTAGGAAGCACTGTGTTCCCAATGGGGACGTGGGCTCGAGATGTGTCAGAGACAGTGCCGGTGTTGGCGGTGACAAAACTGTGCTTTCGACCCCGCCTGCGCATCCGATAGGAAGGAGGCGCAGCTGCTTCGGACGGTGCGGTCCAGGAGAATGGCTGGGCACGAAGGTAAGAGCTTGGTCGACTTCTCACTTACTTGAATTTTTTCTATTCTAAGCCATAGTCAATTCCGTAGTCAGTTCAGTGGTTTTCATTGATTTTTTTATGCTTTGATAAACGAGTCGTCTGGTGCGGCTCTCACTAGAAGCAATAATCTATGCTTCATCGAGCTACTGCTATTTGATGCTTTAGTTTCTAAAAATTTTTTAACTGAGATTTGTTCTTTATGGTATTGGTGTAAACTGACGTGATATGGGCAGTGTCAGCTTCGAATTTATATAAAAGTGACATGGTAGAGGCTCGCGTACTGTGCGGTGTCGGTGCACGTTAAAGAGCACCAGATAGTCAAAATCTTGGGAGCCCTCCACTATGGCACGTACCATAATGATATCGTGGTTTGGGGACGTGAAATCTCTGATATTATTATGGCAAGACTGCAGTGATATCGCGGGCTCAATGCCTATTATTCAGCAGAGCTGCCTGACTCATGTTGCAAAAGTTTTTAAATGTGAAGCATTTGTTTGCATACTGTAGGCACTCTGAGCGCCTATCTGCGTGTCTGTTTGTTCATCCGCCCGTCTGTCCATCCATCCATTCATGCATCCATCCATCTGTCCGCCTACGTTTGGGTGCTCTTGTGATCACCTCCTTAACTTAATTAATTTGGGAGGGTAAAATGGCTAGACAAATATGACTCGCCGGTCACGACAAGAATAACGTCGCAATCCAGTCGCATACGTTATCGAACCTTTCTGATAAACAGTGGCACATACCCAGGGGCAGGTATGGGCCGCTGGCATGCGGGTATGTGCCACAGGGGTTTGACAGTTTATATCTACTCAGGAATGGCGAGACCAACCATGGGTAGTTTTAATGCTTCGTCATTAAGGAAACGCAGACATTGGCAGCATTGATCGGAAAAATGGAAAGAATAAATTTCATTGTCCCAGCAGAAAGCAAACCCTATCATTCTATGTGGCAGTCGAGTATTCTTCCAAAGAGCCCCACCACGTCTCGGAAATACCCTTCAAATAGACCCTAATCTTCATGAAATGCCAATCGTGGTTTCAGTGCTGGCTTTCCAATTTCATAAACAATACATATGCACTCCTACGATACAGCCGTTACGTGGGGTTAACATCAAATGTAGTCAAGTGTTATTCGCTTGAGTGTATTTATGTAGTAGTGTCCAGGGCCACAATTCCTCGCTAGCAGCAGTGCTTTATATCAGCCTACTGCTTTTGGTGTTTAATATCCATGTTGCTGTTGAAGTCGCTACGCAACTGTGAACAACTCGTGATGCAAAACGTATGTAGCTGTTTGTCTTATGTTTGTGCGTGCATTTCTACATATCTTCAATGCAGCTTGGTGGCGTTTCGCTCACTAAAAAAATTATAACACAGTCGGCTTGAATGCGTGCGCTTCACATAACATCGATATCCAAGGTAGTGGTATGTGCCGAATTTTTTTCCTTGTCATTCTCGTGCTTGGGAATTCACCAGTAACTCGAGTGCAGGCCTACGCTGGAAAGATATTCGACTCCTTGAATTATTATTATTCCACTTTGAAGTTAATTGGAATGATGTTGGAAGCATTAGAAAGTAATAGACCGATGCCAACATTGCGCAACAAAAAGTACAATTTACTAAGAAGTTTTCTTTGGCATGGCATGCTGCTCTGGTAAGTCCAGCCTTTGTTAATCTCAGCAAAGTATACTAGCGTGCAGCCATGCACTTAAACAACAATGGCAACTGAGCTTATAAACTGCATTTGTCAGGGCATGGTTGGCCTCCGCACAGAGGGAGGTAAACAAATAAACGCTTGCTAAACAAACCTTTACTGTTCACTTGCGAGGCACGTTCAGTACTTGCCCTCCATATGCGCACGGCTTGTTGATAACTGCTACCCGAGCCTGTGCAAAACTGACCGCCTGGCACATTTCCAGTGAAACTGCCACAGAGGTAAACACAGGCGCGGTTGTTGTTGGGGCATTATAAACTGATGACCGCCGGTAAAGCCACTGCGCAATAAAGCACACAAATAAAGGGGGAACAAGTCGCTTGCGGAGGGCCGTAAAAATAAACGTATTCGGTAGGAAGCGAAGTAGGCATCTTTCTTGGCATGCGGGTCTTGTATCCAAGTGAGCTTATCTGCCTGTGCCGCACTGTGTGTTGAATATTGCATGTGCCGTTTAGAAAGTCAGGAGTTTTCATCTTTCCTGTTATTTCAAATGTTTATACCTTATTGAAGTCTATGGTGATATATCTGTGAGGTGTTGTACCCCTTGACACATAGTTGTGCTAAACTATATCCAAGCTGAGCAAAACTTAAGCTAAGCTTTGCGAAATTCTTCTTCGCAGCTAAATGTGTAGGTGTAGTGTATGCGTATAGATATAGGTGTGCGGTTGCTGGTTTGTAGTTGCGGTATGCTTGTCAGTAACATCTGCGAGCTTGTTCAGCTTAGCATTTTCTGACACATAGCGGCCTATGCTATGGATTTATAAATGTATTTTATGTGTGTGCATATTGATTCGAGACTGTCATACATTCCCCTAGATGCGTGCTTAGTTATGGGAGGTAATTTAAAGAGGTTACAGTTACAACATTTAAAAGATCAGATTATTAAAATTATCTACAATGTTTATTTGAAAACTTCAAGAGCCCCTTTGCTGGGGTGTTCCTTACTTTCATTATTATTTTTGTGGTTGCAATAGAGTCGCCAGGTCAGTGATGTCTGTGAGGAGATGCGGTTACTTTGATCTGGCATTGAGATAAGCTCTCTGTACTTGCAGTCGCAGTTTTGCTGTTTTCCTCATAAAGCCTAATAGTGAGTGCTGTTGTTGTTTTTTGCCCCTTGGTCTACTATGCCAGCTGTAATGCTGTAGCTTACTTGATGCTAATATTTCATTATATCTTGTTTAATGTTACTTGGTTCCTGAGAAATTTTCATTTTGACAAAACTGCATAGTATATCATCGTTAAGTACTGCATTAACGCAATGTGCTTGTGATTAGTAGCAGAACTGTTTTGTAAATTTTTTCAGATTGAGCAGTCCATGAAGGGCGTAGTTATTACTAAAATCAGTGTCGTTGAGGTTTCTTACTTCTCATGCAGTGTACAAAATGGTTTGAATGTAATTTCTGTTCTATTTCATATGTCAGGTTAGCAGTGACCAAAATAAAATGACAATAGAATTTTGTTATGCTTGCCGTAAGCATGTTGGCCATATTACTGACTAATATGAGCAAGAAATATTTTAGATGTTTGTTGTATCAGTGCTTTTCTGATTGAGATTTCACCTACTATAAAAAGCAGTGTACAGTATTTGTTCCTGTTGCCATGAACAAAATTATGGAACTGTTATTAAACATCCTCATTTATATTTGCATTTTGTCACATGTTCTTGGAGCCATGTACATAACTTGTAAATTAGAAAAAGCAGCATTAAATATTCAAGTCTGATGACTAGTATACGTTATTGTACGAGATAGCCACGTCATTTCGTGACGAATCTGCTGTTTAAGAATTATGTCAGTTCCGAGCTACCCATGAGAGTCAAAATTACGTTGATAGGATGAAAACTGAAGACTTTAGATGAAACTGTGTGCGATACTTAGCCCTAAATTGTCGTATTTCAATTTACGAGTACACATATATGTATAATTGGAAGCTGTAAGAAAGGGAAAAGCTGTTGATTTGAAGCAAATTTACGTCAGCAGAACTAAAATGTTGTTAGAAACGGGAATCATTAGAGGAGTGGACTCTCTCGGCATTTGATAGTTAAATGCAGTGGCTATAGGGGCTAATCGTGCTCCCTAACTGCCGCAACGACTCTTATGTGCAGGACCCATTAACAACGAATCTAAGATCATGAGAACAGTCTTCGAAAGTAGCTGCATCTGCTTTAACACATAAGCAGTTTCTTATCAGGACTTTCGCAAAAGTGAAAGTTTGATAACATTGAATTGTTCTTGATTGATCGATAAGAGTAACAATGCACTCCTTTGTCTACTACAAAGGGGAGTCAGTACATTCCTGATAGTCACATATAGTATGTGTCACGTGGATGTGCTGTATGTGCCGTATTGTAACGCGACCGCAGATGTAAGGTCAGGTGTAACTTTTCATTGCAAAAGAACTTGTTGTTGGGCTAGATGGTAGAGCATTTCGAAAAGTTAATTCGAGCGCGAAAACTTTACACGATCGCTCACACATGCACACACCCATGCATCAAACACACACAGCACTCACTTCCAACTGATTTATTCATAGCTCGAATGCTTGAATATATACAGGACACATTGTGCGCACACACACCATAGAAGGCCAACAGCATACATTATCAAACGTACAGTTAATCAATGTCATAGCCTCAGAGCGATAAACTGAAGTTCGCTTGGTAACAACGAAATTGAAGGGGCGCTTACACAGTGGTCTTTATTTTTTTCAATGAAAAAGGCCTCTAACACTTCACGTGCAGTTTTACTTGCGCTTCTGCCTAGAATCTTCGTCTCGGAAAATTGTGCGTCACAACCGCACGAGCTGACATGCACAACCAGGTGCGCATACTTGTCATCTCTTTTTGTTAATTTTTGGGCGTGTTCCCTTAATCGGTCATTAATACACCGTCTGGTTTGGCCAATGTTCACTTTTCCGCAGGATAAGGGTATGGAGTACACAACCCCCATGGAACACTTAACAAAGGCCAGAAAAAACATGAGAGTTGAACGTGATCAAGAGTTGAACATGATAGCGATATTCTATTCCTAGTGTGTACATCAAACACTTAGTGTATGAAGCCTTTTCGAACTTGTATGCACCCACTATGTGGCCCTTCCTTAAAGGTGCCCTGCAACACTTTTTGAGCATGGTCAGAAAACGCTGCCGATCGGTCATAGAGGCTCCCGAAAACACGCGAGCCAAATGTTATAGTGCTGCACGCGGCCTGGACTTCACAATAAATTATCAAAGTCAGCTGAAATTGCTTTCTCTTTCCTCAATAAATGACCGAATACGCTCAAAAATCACTTATAGAATGCCCATCTATCAGCCATTGGCTGATTTGAACATGCCGCGCTCGGCCGTCACTTGTCCACACGCCCGCGCGCGATCATTCTGGAAAAGTTGCGTATTCGAAGAAAAAAAAAAAGATAAAAGTGCTCAAGGCCACAAGGCGTGCGTGTCGCTTTTTTTTTCCCCTCCTATCCCTTCCTATTTAGCTTCCAGCATTTTCATCGGGAGGAGAGAAGAGAGAATGCGATTGCGGTGTGTGACAAATATTTGTAACTCCGCTGGTACTGGAAAGACTCTTAGAATTTTCGCACTGCCCGACAGCAGTGGTCTTGTGGCTAAGGTACAAGGCTGCTGACCCGCAGGTAGCGGGATCGAATCCCGGCTGCGGCGGCTGCATTTCCGATGGAGGCGGAAATGTTGTAGGCTCGTGTGCTCAGATTTGGACTAAACTTCCGGAGTCCTTCACTACGGCGTATCTCATATCCATATGGTATTTTTAAGACGTTAAACTTCACATATCAATCAACCAGAATTTTCGCGGCATTGAATTTGTGAGTTCCAGTGAATTAATTTCATGGTTACACAAAGAAGTGTTTCAGGGCCCCTTTAAGGCTACAGTAGCATTGTGTGTCTTTTGTAGAGGGTGACTGGCTTTAAACTATGAAATCATGGTAATCCCATCTTCTGATACCCGATGGCAATGTACGCTTGTGCCACGCATTATTACGGCAACATTTCATGTTGTATTGTGAAGCATTTATACAGGACGCAAGTGTGTTGTTAAGCCTGAATGTTAGCTTTCACTGCATTTCCAAGCAAGGAAGGTATTTTCACTGTATTCCCAAGCGGGGGGGGGGGGGGGGGAGGCCCACCTGCTTGCCACGCAAACGACTTGGGTTTGATCCCCCACTCAGACCCAGGATTTTTCAGAATTTATTTTATTTGCATCGTTCCCGATTTTTCGGTCACGCAAAGATGATTTTTCACTCACAACCAACGATGCCGACGCTAGAATTTCTGCGAAACCAGCTCTTTAACACAATCGCATTAATAATAATAATAATAATCATTATTGCTCATTTCACAAGAAAATAGTACACATGTTAGATTCGCCAAAGCCACATGGGGCTTAAGCAGCAGTGCCTGGCAGCAGCGAAAAACGGCAAGCGTTGAAGTTATACATGGGCTTGAATACCAAAATGCAAAAAAAAGTAACCAAAGCCGCTTAAAAGACAATAACAACTTCACCTAAAGCAAAAAAAATAAATCATCTGCCTAAGCACCTTTTTTAACTATATTCAGCCCTGGTGCGCAGTAAACAGGTGGCCGATTGATTTCAATTTTATGAACATATTTGAATACAACAAAAGAAAATTCAGTATTTCAAGTCCAATTTAGTGTAGTTTGGTTTTAGTGATATGGAGGATGCAGAGAATGCGTAAAAATATAAATCTGAGCGTGATGAATCAATACACTTTTAGTGAAAACCACTTCACAGTGAACAGCCGGTGGACGGAATGGCGCATTTTGATGTTATGTGCTTCTTTTCTTTTTTTTTTTTGTGGCTGCAACAAAGGCATGTGTGGTCAATGGAGATACGAAACACTCTGGCATATTCTTAAAAACAACCGACGATAGGGATGTCCCACTCCTGATAGGCGACTGGGGCCGATAACATTGTCTTGAAAAGGTACGCCTACGAGGCATTGACTGTCCCCACGTGTGTAAAGCAAGGTTTTGGTGACCTGCAGCAGTGAAGCATTTTCTTTTTTTTTTTTGTTTTTCTTCTTTCGCACTAAATGATTTTCGTTGAGTAAAAGCAGACAGCTCAAGTCGTGAAATTCAGCTAATTTTATTCTAATAAATATCTAGGATGGGATTCAAGTTCAGTTTCAGTGTTGACTAATTTTTATTCCCGTAAGAACTGAGGAAGGTCTGAAGGAATCGTGATAATTTCTGGTCTATGAAGGTTTGGGCCCGCTCACGTGCACTTGTAAGACTTTCACACGAAATTGGACAAATTAGGGATGTGCGTGTGGTAGTCGTACAGTACTTTTTGAGCCCTGCAAGAAAAGTAGAAATACGGTTTTGAAAGATTAGTATGAGATAGTACTGTGAGCATGATGAAGAGCTAAGATACAACCTTTGAAATGGAACAGTGTGTAGCGATATATTTCATAGCAGTCAAATCTGTTTAGTAATCTTACATCAGTTTGTAATTAGGCATTCAACATCATTTTAGAATTATAAACCGAACTGCATATGTGTTTTCCTGAAGTAATACTTAAACTGGCAATACTGGAGTTAGTTCACTACTTGCGTACAGCTCTACATAAGGCGGTGGGGCCGGAGGAAAAAAAAACAGCATTTGAACAGATTCAATTATCCAGCATTCCTGGTTCCTGGGGGCAGAAAGACAACGAAACAAATTATTTTTGTGCAGGGTAAAATGTGTAGGTGGATAAAAAGGGGTGCTACTCTAAAAACACAACCTTTTTGGTTTAGATAAATTATCTGTTTTTACTTGCTTTCTTAAGTACGGTAGCTCTAGCTTCACAACAATAAAAATTAGTTTCATTTAAACAGGAAATGGGTTAGAATCATTTTCTAGGGGAGAATATGGAACCAGGAAAAAAAAAAGCCTTTTTTTATTGAGGAGGCTTCAAAAGATCATGAATATATATGGGCTGATTTCAAATATGTAACCATTTTTTTTGCATAATATGTATGAAACATTCTGTGTGATGTTTTGTGAGAAAGAGTTATTAAGCTGGACAAACCAGCACATAACACTATTGTGCAATTAAAACTCTATGCAAGGCAGCAATAGATCTTCTAAACCCGTTTAAACACAAGCGTAGGTTGAACCTTCGTGAGTGACACCCCAGCGTGACATCAACTCAATTCTACAGCTTTTCATTGGGAGACACTCAATATATTCAAATGTTATTTTATTTCTTTGTGTTGTACATTCAAACCTCTGTATAACGAACCCAGATATAACAAAATACCGGTTATAATGAAGTAAATAAAGAATAGTCTTGCAGTAGCTGTAGTGTTAGGAGCATACCTTTATTACAAATTTTCAAATATAACGAATTTTATTAGATGCAACTTTGTTACAGTGAGGTTTGAGTGTATAAATAAACAACTTCTGTAGCTGTATTTTCTAGCCTCTGTGCTGTTTGGTCAGTCGGTTCGAATTTAGCGGTCTCACTGGTTTCGTGTGATGAACGTGCAGGGGTCGCTCTAGCCACTCCGAATGCAACGGTCTCGACCGTCGCACCATCGTGCTGAGTAGCAGCAGCGGAAGCAGCAGTGGCTCCACCGAGGGGCCCGACAGTCCCCTACCCGGAGAGGTCCTTGGGTGAGTGCGCCATTCGCTGTGAATCAGTACCTGGCAGATTGAAAAAATTCGTGAACCTGGTGTGTCGCCCCAGGCAACGCTTTGACAAGTGGACCTGTTGTCTTCAAGGGTGTGATGCCTGTCTCGGTGCGCATATGTAACACTCGCACTTATTATAACGAACCCATATTATAACAAAATATTGGTTATAACAAAGTAAATCAATAGTCTTGCAGTATAGTGTTGGGCATAAACCTTTATAATGAATTTTTGGATATAGAGAACTTATTTTTGTGTATGATGCAACTTTTGAAATAGAGGATTGGGTGTCTATGCTCTGTAACCCTCTCCTCCAATCCTAAGAGGAGAAAAGGGTACAAAGAATATATGTGCACATGCTAAGGTAGGCCTTGCAGCCTCGAAGATGACATGTCTGCTTGTCGAAGTTGTGGCGGTAGTGACAGCCAGTGCTCACAAATTATTCATATCATTAAGCTTCCTTCTTTGACCTTCTGCCTTTTTTTCAATACGTGGCATATTGACATTTGTGTTGACTGCCTATTATGTATGAATTATTCATGCAGTATTGAGAATGACTGTCATCCAAGTCTTTATGACAGAAAGAAAGCTTTTGAGAATCGCAGTTATGTTGCACGTCTAAGTTTAACTGAAGTGGGGCCTAAAGGGGTGCCAAAGTCTAAGTACTTGAGCATTTTCTCATTCAGCTCGTCAGAATGCTGCCACCTTGGCAGTTAGTCAAACTTACAATCTTGTTCTCTGGAATGAAATGCTGTAATTACTGTTTCTGTGCATAGTATTAAATTTCCTTATGTATAACTCGTCCGTTCACATAACCTACACCCCCAACATCAGAACAATGGAGGGAAAAAAAAAACTATCCAGGTATTGTTATGAAGTTCTCTTTCTTGTATTATAATAAAGCAGTGCCGTGATGCCAACTTGGACACCGCAACACTCATCTAATTTCTTTGACTGCAGCTCCAAACCTTCCTGATATTCTGTGTGGGTTGTGTATGAGAAAATACAGTAATTGCTGACCTGCAACTTCACCACCTACTCTGCTGGTGTCAGCTGGAAAAGAAATGGTCCTCTAAAAATGTACAAAGAGAGAAAGCTGTGCTCAGTCGTGCTCAGTCTGTCTTCCTCGATTGCATCCAATATCTTGCACTTGAGAATCTGCTCGCATGCCGCTGTTTTTTCTTCCTTCTTGAAAAAAAAAAAAAAAAAACTTGCTACATGTCGTGTGCACAAAGATGCTGAAGCACGTGTTAGATCCCTTCTGTTTTCTGAAGAAAGATAAAGACCACTTAAAAGGGCCGCATACCTTGCAGAGGTCTCTCGTGACTCGTAGCTGATGTTTGAATTGACATCTACTCACTGTGTGCATACAAATGTCATGGATCGTGGCTCAGTTGTGAGTAGGAAGCCTTTACTTTGCACCCCTAATGTCAAAATATTTTACTCATATTCTAATACTGTGAGAAAATTCTTAGTTGCAGAATATGTTGGTGCATGTGCTGTTGAATGTGCATTTTTTGTACTGTTAAGATAAGACCGTGATTCAAGTCTCAAGTTGATTTTGCCGGTATGGTTTCGTAGGCAAGATGGCAACAATGTGCAACTGCTGCACTCATTTCAGTGTAACTTTGGCTAATTTGATAAGTTAGAAAATTGTTTTTCAGTGTGTGAAGTCTTTCTTAATTGCATTCGTAGAAAATAACATTAGACTGCCAAAAAAATGTAGAAAATATTCCAATTTAAATGGTAGGAGTCTTTAAACTTGTAGTTTTCGGCATGCATTTTAAGAAAAAAAAAAATGGTTGACTGTGCTTTAGCTTTGTTTATTAGGCTTCACCCAAATGTAACATCATTTTTTTGCCTTGGTGGGGAGAAATGAACATTTTTTTTTTCCTGCTCATAACAGTTACAACAGGCAACACCATTTTTATGTGGAACAGGCAAGCAACACTGAATATTTACTTGTTAAGGTAGCACACACCTTCTGTGCCAACACATTTATGGTACAACAGTACGGCCTGCCGAATGCTATGCCTGAATAATGTTCGAGTGTTCATGATGACAGTTTAGCCACGAAATATTACATTCTCTGAGTGGTAAAGTTTATTTCTGTGTTCATGCTGGTGTGGGATTTCTGTAAAAGTTTTCAAAACGTTTCTGCCACAACAAGGCGCTAGTGTGGTATCCCCGATCTCTGATGCTTCTAACTGCCAAAACTTCCATAGTTCTAAAGATGCGTCTTTGTCATTCATGCAGCTATTCATCTGAAGTACATATATGCTGCTTAGCATGCAGTGGTTTATAATCTTGTTATCACATTCATAGCTCTGTTTCATCTTTTATGAGGTATAGTGACAACATGAAGGTTTCATAGGTTACTTGAGCTTTCAAATTGTTAATACCGTATTTACTCGATTCTACCGCGCCCTCGATTGTAACGCGCACCCGATTTCCACCGCGAAAAAAAAAAAAAACGTAAGAAATCGATTGCAACGCGCACCCATTTTTTCTCGCTGGCCCGCATGATCACACCACTCGAAAAAATGACTCCTTTCGGGAGCGTCTTCCATTTAAATATGAGGTACGGGCGAAGCTTGTGCCCATCTGACGTGTAACAGAGCATTGCCGTCACTGTAGTTTTATCGTGGACCGATGTCAGCACGCGAACTTGCTTCGCCCCCTTCTTCTCGACGGTTGTGGTGCCAGGCATGTCGAAGTAAAGAAGCGTCTGATCGGCATTCCCGATTTGCCCAAGCAGGTAGTCGTTGTTGCGCCGCAAGTTTAGGACGAACCTCTGAAAACTGTGAAGCTTTTCATCGTACTCCTCCGCAAAACTTTTCGCATATGCATGTTCCCCTTCGGAGGGAAAAGCCTTTCCTCTTCATAAAGTTAGTTAGCCAGCACCTGCTCGCTTAAAACTGGCTCCGCGTTAGACATTTTTCTAAGACTAATTGCGTAGCCCGCACTTGGAGCAGTTCTGCCGTCACGGGCCGCTGTGCTGCTCGCTGCTAAACCACATACTCGCCAAGCAGCTGTTTAATTTGCGGAAACCGACCCTGCTGTGGTCCACTGAAGCCTTTGCGTAAAGCTTTGCTGTCGAAAATCTTCTGCTTTTGTTTCCGCCGGTCCCGCACGCACGTTTCGGGAACTCCGAACGACCGCGATGCGGCCCAATTTCCGTCCGTTTCTGCACACGCGATGACTTTTCTTTTAAAAGCGGCATCATGGTGCACTCGAGTTTTTGGAGTCGGCCATTCCACGCCGTCGATGCTAATGCACTACTAGATGACGAACTCCTCAGCGCACGTACGAAGTGCCGCACATGAGAAACACATAGGCAGAAATGGACGACGCGCCATGCCGACGCACGTAGGGGGCGGCCATTTTAGATTTGCCGATGGCAATAGATTGGCCGTAATTTTTTTGTTCGTACTCGATTCTAACGCGCATGCGATTTATGAACTCGCTTAACCGGAAAAAAGGTGCGCGTTTTCAATTTTGCAATATTTTGGAGTCTGCTACAAGTTGCTCGAGTAATTACGGTACTATCGAAATGGTATCGCAAAGTCAGATAAATGCCCGAAAAAGGGAACACTAAACACAAACGTCGTGTTTTTTGTACATTTGTCTTACCTTGTGGTGCCGTTTTAGTAGTATGAATTCGTACTAACTTGCCTAGTTTTCAGTCTTTCAAATAATGCCTGTTTGCTATGGAGAAGAAGCTATTCAAATGGGGTCAAATAGTGTGTACTTGATTCGGGGATTGAGATATTCAAATAAGATCATATCCTCCACTGCTTACTTTTAATTTTTAATGTATATTCACTGCCCCAGGCATATTTTTTAGAATGCATTGTCATCTTGTCAGGGCATAATTATTAACATGCCTGTTAATAAATTGACCACAAAAATGTCGGCTAGATTGAATGCTGTAACAAATCTTCTCAGGTGTCTCTTGCCAAGCACACTGGGGCCAAAAAATCACTTACTGATAAAAACAACATTAAGCACAAGATGGCTGCTACATAATTAGAGAGAGGGACTGTCAGCCGGTTTTGATATTAAAGGGGCCCTGCAAAACTTTTTGAACCTAGTCTGAAAATACTTTTGATAGGTGGTCAAGGCTCCTGTAAAACACTGATCCAAACACTCTAGCATGGCACGTGGCATGGAATTTGCAATATTTTGGAGTCTGCTACAAGTTGCTCGTTGTGCTCTTGACAAAGGGTGGGATTAGCCAAAATGACTGCGTCATAAGCACGAAGCGCATTGGCTGATTTAAGGATTGCGAGTTATATGGTTACTGCAGCTGCCGCAGGATGCCGAAGCATGTCCGAGCTGCACTGTCTAGAATTATGAATAAAGGAATTACACTAGTGCTCTCGCTATCGCACTGAAAGTAAGCTGCACATCCAAATTAAAGTTTTAAAAAGTTTAAAAAGTGTTCAAGGTGACAATGTGCCCTGATGAGCAGATGTAGCTTCACGCCCTCTTGTCCACTGCCATCGCCAGGAGATAGGTTAGGGGGGTTTGAACTCCTCTATCCCCCAAAGTTTTTCAGTTTGGCGTGTGCATACTTATAGACGTACAGACACAAATGCACGTGTGAACATACACAAAAGATGAAATTAATGAACCCCTTTACCACATCCCCCCCCCTCCAAAAATTTCTGGCTATGCTGCTAGTCCGTTTCATCCCCCCCTATATAGCATGCAGTGTGCTCACTGGTATCAAAAAATAGAGAATATGCTTAAGGTATGTGATAAATCCCTCTATTATTGCTCCTACTCGAGATTATAAAATTCTTTGGGGCAGTTTGATTCATGAGCCAACAAATTTATTTAGTGCTGCTACTCGATGATTACTCGGAAAAGTGTCGCAGTGCCTCTTTAACATCAAGAGGAAGTACTCAATGCTCAACATGTGCCAGCTAGCCGGAAAGCAAGTGGAACTTGTTTTTTTTTTCTGCAGCTCTGGGGTCCGTTGGAGTGGCGGGGGCCGCAGCGTCTCCGAGGTCAAGGAGCTGGCCTATGCACGCCTGCAGGCGGAGCTGTCACGAGCGCAGCAGGTATCCAAATACCTCTGTGCCACTTTTGCTCGTTTCACGTCATGACGAAAGACGACGTCACGGCTACTGCGTCTTTTAGATGCAAAGCAGCTCGTCGACTAGCCTGTGTAACACTGTCCGTCCATGTCTCTGTTCACCAAGGACAATATATACCAGGAAAACACAAGGAGTTTCAAAATACAAGAGTAAATTCCGTGATGAAGTGTCGTCCGGTAACGAGATCTCGCAATCTAAAAGCGGTATAGATGGTGAGCTGACACAACTATCAATATTCTTTTTTATGAAAAAGGCTTCTGCGATCTCCCTAGTTTTTGTGTTGCGAATGCAGACGTGCACGAAAATGCATTGCAAACTTGCATGGCAAGTTTTACATCTAAGTTTCACCTTCGTCCACACCACTGTCTAGGTACCATTTATAGCTGTTAGTGCATGCATGTTTAACTTCAGAACAAAATTCACCCCTTTTAGGGTTTGATGAGAGCCACACGAAACCTGCGTAATAGTGCTGGCAGAAAACTCTTGTACCTGCTGTGTTATTTGACAGCTGCCATTGTAATTAAAAACATTTCTTGCTGATTGTTCTTTGGTTTTTCATTCCATTTGCTGAATAAGCAGTAGTGCAACCGCATGTGCACTGCATGCTCATTCTGTGCTGCAGTGAAGCATACTACTTGCGACATTTCGTTACCAAAGCAGCACACTAATTCAGCACTGCAAAAAGCCTTCAGGTCTCATGAATTCTGTCAGAAGACCTAGATTAAAAATGAATAAGAAAAAAATTATTTCAATGCAGCGTAACAGTAAGGCGTGTTCTGTTTTAAATTAATGATACATAAGACTAATTCCCAATCCCCGTGAAACTTAACATGTCTTGGTTCTTCTATGCACATCACAAGTATCTCATTAGCTTCATACTTGCAAAGTGTTGTACTTTTGCATTCAAGAAATATTTAATGGAGATTATAGTTTAAAATTGTGTATTAGCTCACCTTCAATCACATGCGTCTGCAGTGAAAGGCAGTCTAAGAACTAATTACTACAAGGACATTCTTTCTTTTGTCATTATCTTCTGTTAAAATAGTTTAGTGCTATAAAAAATGAAAGAACATTAACCACAGAAGGAATAAGAAAGACTTTCTGGCTTTCTCGATGGCAGTCTGGTTCACATAAATGTAATAATAATAGCTAAGGTTTTACGTCTCAAAACAACGATATCATTATGAGAGTCGTCATCGTGGAGGGTTGCGGAAATTTTGACCATCTGGTGTCCTTTAACATGCGCCCACATGGCCCAGCTCACCGGCCTCAACCGTATTGCCTCCACCAAAGTGCGGCCTCCGCTGTTGGGATCGAACCTGCCAAGTTTGAATCGGAAGAAGGCTCCCATAAAGGAAGCTGAAAAGTCTGCTTAGGAGCGCAGTTTTTTAGGCTGGCACCCTGTTATCGCCATCGCCAGGCGAAGCTCTCTAAAACATCGATGCAACGCCGAATCAAAAAGACAATGAAACGATCCATGAGTGTCAAACTCCTGAACCGGCTGAGTGTGCACTCGCAACTCTCCCCCTTCTGTCTCGCTCTCCTTCTTTCTTCGTCTCTGCCCTCTCGTTTATTTAAGGAGCTTTGTTCATCCGTTTCATTGGTACACGGAACTGCTGGTTTTTCTCAATCTCTTTGTGTTCCGTGTTTTTTTACTCTGTATGATGCTACTTTGCGACCAGATGAGGTGCTTTTGAAACCTCTAATTCAATGTTTGAACGTGTGATCGGTGAGTACAGATGTGTGCAATGCCAATGGCAACTTCGTATACACGCAGGAGCTGCGCCTTCGCGACGAGGAAGTTGCCCGCCTGAGCCAGATTCGAGACCAGGTGGGCGCCGAGCTCGAGGAGCTCACTGCCAGCCTGTTCGAGGTGGGTGTCTTGGAGTTGCAGCACACGGTTGCCCTTTCGTGTTGGTTTTTGTGTGCCCGTGTCGGTAAGGTTGCCACTGAATTTGACTCGGCAGCAGTAGCAGCTAGAAGATCGGAAGTCGACACTCAAGTGCCGGAAACTTCTGAAGAATAAAATTTGAAAGCTAGCTGCGTTACTTGCTGCATTTTACCTGCATTATTTTCTCTTCAGCTCTTGTGCGCAGATATTAAACAGGTATCTATATAAGTGAATTTGGGTTTGGCAAGGTTGTTGCCATGATCGGTGTGGAGTCAGCGAACGACCCAATAAGTAAAGGTATATCTGTTCGAAATCTTTTAAGTGCTCTTGTTGAACACAATAGTCTATCGAGAGTATATTTATAGGCATCGCAAAAAGTGATCATATTTTACATGGCCGATTTCTGCCCATAAAACCCAGCATTGAGGCACATGCCAAGCTTTAATGAAGCTTGGCTCAGCGAAACAAAGAAATTGACTCCCCATGAAGAGAAGGGCAAAAATATATGAATATTTCAGTGTCAATTGCACCAACCTACAAAGATATAATCGAAGAATGGTTAAACTTAGGTGGAAATAGGCCAAGTAGACTTCACTTTACTGAAGTTTTGGAAAGATCAGCATAAAATCATTTTTTTAAACCGTTGAATCAAGTTGCCTGTGTTACGCTGCTCTTTGTCAGGAAGCAAACAACATGGTCCGGGAAGCCAACATGAAGCAAGCAGCAGCTGAGAAGCGTCTTCAGGAAGCTACTCTGAAGGTGAGTGGGAGTGTTTGTACGGCGCCACTGCATTTGTAAGTCAACTTCCAGTAATTCTTGGAACGAGTAACCAGTGGGATTGCGTAGTCTCTGCCCACTATTGCTGACATCTGCTTTTACTGTGAGAGTGACACGTGATGCATAGTTATGCTCTTATACACCTTCAACTTCTGTTGTCAAATTTTGGATTTTTTTTTCTTGCGTGATAAATGCACTCCCTACATTCATCCGCTGCAGTCCCCCAAACACACCCGGCGCTTCTTTGCTTGCTGTATCTTTTCTGTGTTCTTTTTTAAGCCAACCCCCTTGGCATTGCCTTAAATTGCCCTCCCCCCCACCCCTTCACCTGCTGCCACGGGCCATTTTGTTTTCTTTCAATCTGTGCGCGGCAGGTCCCCTGTCTTATTTAGTTATTCATGCGGCCACGGTGGTGTTCACGAACGGTATGAGTGTAGGAACATTGCAGCTGACAAACACCCGGCGAGTCAAGGTCACGAAACTGCCCGCGCCAAGTATTGCCAAGTAAGTAAATATGAAACTTTAAGGCCCAATCACATGCACACAATTTTCGAGCGACGGCGACAGGATTTGTTGTGGTCATGGCTGTCCCGAAGGGCCGTTCGACACCATTGCATCACAGGCTTATGGAAAACCAGAAAAAAATCGCTTGTCGCCCAGAAAAGAGCGAGACGATTCCCGTAAAAAAACAGCACCCCTTATTATTGCTTCAGTTTCTATTAGCTTTTCATGCTTGTTATCTGCATGTACGTCAAGGAACGCAAGATATGGGCTACCTCTTCTACAGCCACTTCTCATGCAGACATTTGTCGATTGTTATCGATTATCAATTATTGATTTTGTCTATCTTGTTATCGATTGTTTGTTTCGATGCTTTTGTGGTAGCTTGCTGCAATGTCAATGGCTGTGTCAGAGTTGTCGTGCGAGGTTGCCGGGGAATGAGCAAAGTGCATCTTAGCACACGCTTTTGGGCACCTCTCGAGATCACAGCAGATGCCATTGTTGTGGTTAAATGTTTGCGAGAAGAGCAAGCCGCAAAATGCTTTTATGGAGCGCGTGGGCGGCGCGGGGACAGCTTGCAGAAGGTAGCACCGACAACGTTGATGAGTGAAGTGCTACAAAGAAGCTGTGTCCAAACAGTGTACGCATATGTAAAGTTGTGAAAGGCTAAAAGGCCTAACTTTCTTTTGCATTACCACATTTATTGCTCATCCCAAAGAGTTTTCATAAAGTTTGCCCCACATAATAAACCCACCCCCAACATTGCTTCAATATTGAGGGAAAAAAAGTGCGTTCATTATGCGAGTATATGCGGCAACGCTTTTTGAAGGTGGCAGGGATAACTGACTTTAATTTTCCGCCATGGGGGATCAGTCGTTATGGTGCTTGGCTGCTGACAGGAATTTGGTGGGTTCGATCCGCATGGAAGTGTTCACATTTCGATAGAGGTGAAATGGTAAAGGCACGTGTACTATGCAATGTCAGTGTGCGTTGAAAAACACCTGATATTCAAAATTTCCAGAGCCAACCACTATGGCAACTTTCATAATTATATCATGATTTTCGGGTGTAAGACATCAGAAATCATTGTAATCATTTAAGCCACTTTAATAGTAGCATGCCTCTCCCTTCCCCCAAATCATACCTGCGATGAAATTCGACCATTGTCTCATAAAGGGTATCAATTACACTTTGTTGTTTTACATTGGCAGATTAGAATGTACATTTATTCAAAAATCGTCGTTTCTATTTGTGCATAACTGTAGCGCCAGACAGATGAAAATCTGTCAAGATAACACATTTGTCTCAGTCTGATTGAACTCAGGACCAACGCCTTTTTGGCGGAGTGGTTGCTCTATCAGGTGAGCTATACAAAATGGTAGCACGTGGCAGGGCATGGGCGAATTATTACAAAGCTCAAAGCCCGTGGACACCGATTATTGCAAATCATTCATGCAGACTCTTTGCAATAAATATGTGCCACAATTGTAGTTATAAATCTTCCCTTTCAAAAGCAGTTATTCATTGAACTCATCAGTAAATTGACAACAGGATTTTGCATACATTCAGAGAAGGCGTTACGGCTTTTATAAAAACGCCGTACTTTTACGTCCTTCTACGCTTGCAGGTCGAAGTGTTGCAAGCAGAGGTGAGCGCCCTCAAGGCTCTCGTGCTCACGTCGACACCCAGCCGGCCCAACGCACACCTGCACCCACAGCTCAGTCGGCACCGGCATCGGCGCTCACCCTCCAACTACGAGCTGGCCACGTGTCGACCACCGTCCCCTCCCAGTCAGCAGGTGTCCCAACAGCAACAGCAGCAGTCCCAGTCTGGACAGCCAGGCAGCGACGGAGCGAGCCCCGACTTCTCGGAGGTAACTACGTGTAATTGCCTCATGCGTTTTGCATAGGCCTGTGTGAATGATGAATTTTAGGTTCGAAGCGAATGGTGATTTTGATCGATTAATTTCGAATCGAATTCGGATGGTATGTATTGCATATAAAAAAGTGAATATTTATCATGACCTAACTAACCTGCACAATATTTCTTTTGAATTGAAATAATGGCTCTATGCAAATGCCATTTCTTTTTGGTTCAAAGAAAGTCAGTTTGGGTAGGATGCAAGTGATAACCTGTAAGATACTTAACATTTGAAAGACTTTTTATACTTGGAGCATATAAGCCATCATAACAAGCTTAATAAAATGAATTGATTTGAGGGTAACATGTTACTTTAAAGGGGCCCTGCAACACTTTTTTAAGTAGCCATGGAGCCAGTAAACATGCTTGTTCCCTCACAAATTTACCGCCGCAAAGTTTCTAGAATCAGTCCAGTAGGAGCAGAGTTCCAAAATTTGTCGCACGCTGCAATTGCATTCTCTCTTCTTGTGCTAACGAAATAGCTGGAAGCTAAGCAGGGAGGAATGGCACGGCGAAAGAAAATATGCCACACGCACCTCGTGACCTTGAGCACCTGTTTTTTATTTTTATTATTATTATTTTTTGAATATGCGGCTTTTCAGTGCGATTGCGCACATGCTCGTGGACAAGGGCGCGGTGGCTCCGGTAACGACGAGCGCGCCATGCTCAATTCAGCCAATGGCTGTGACCAGAGCCGTATATTCCTTCTTGGTTGTGACAAGTGGTTCTTGAGCTTGTAGTGTCATTTGCGGAGGGAAGAAAGCAATTTTTAGCTTTGAAAATTTATTCTGAATTACAGGCTGCGTGCTGCGCTATAATATTTGCCTTGCGTGTTTTCGGTAGCCCCAACCGGCAGCGTTTTCTGACCATGCTACGCAAGTGTTGCAGGGCCCCTTTAAATTTGAAGGGTGGCTTCGTGGCAAAGCGAATTTTCTTTGGATAGGTGCTTTTACAGCTTAGCATACTTACGGTGCAGTGAAACCATCTTTACAAGCGGTTACCTGCAGATTATTATACATGTATTTGTTCATTGCGAATACAAAAAATATTCGATAATTTAAATTCGGATCGAAGCAAATTTGAATACTCAACTATACTTTCGAATACTCGAAGCATTCGAATGTTCGCACAAGATTAGTTTTGCAGCATATTTCTTATGTGTTATACACAAATTTTTATTTATTTTGGTGGAGCTTACTTTCCACTTGGTCGTTTCGTGTGGACAGTGTTATTATCATGTACATCTTATATGGCCTCTTGCGTCACCCAGGACCTGCCACAGATGCATCTAGCATGTGTGGCGTCAAGAAAGTTAAGGGGGGACGCGGCCCTTGAAAACCGAAAAATCACGAAAAAGTCGGTTTTTGAAAAACCACATTTTTGGGTTGTATGTCTCATAAACTACCTATTCTGTAATTATCAGCACCTAATTCAACCGCAAAGTGCAAAAAAAGAATATATTTTTGAGGCCGCCGCGGCGTCCAAAACAGGCGCAAATCCCGAAATCGAACCAAACTTCGCGCGCGCGCCATTCCCGGACCATGCGGTCGTCCCGCGCCATCTTGGTGTTGTTTTGACCGTGAATTCTTTCTCTCTCGTTCGCCGCCTTGCAAAATGGCGTCGGCAGCACAGTTGAGACGCTATTGGCGTTTTCCCGCGATGCGATGCGGAGCGCTGATTGGCTAGAGCAGCGCATTCATATCCCGCGGGAGAAAGCGTGCCCGCCATTGGCTGCTGTGCAGCAGCGGGGGCGGTCGCTCCTCTTGATGGCGCGTCTAGCGCGCTCGCTTCGTTCTTGCTCTCTGCTCCGTCCGCCTCGACAGACGTCTGCTTACGAGCCGCTCTTCGCCTTGTGCTATCTTTTCGATCATTTTTTCTCGTTTTTTTTTCTTTTTGCACTAGTTCTGTGCCTTTCGTCTTTGTTGTTGCGGGCGATGCCGGCAACGAAACCGAAGTCAGTGTGGAAGTCCGATGCGCGTAGGCGCGCTATGCGGCTTGTACGATCATCGAAATTCCGCTATTCTGCTGCGGGTGTGGACTGCGTAGATGCTTGCAGCGACGGAACTGTGTTGTCGGCTGTCGCCAGTCGAGAATCCGACACATCGAGTGTGGCTGGAGCCGCAAATGCACCGAGTGTTTCCGAGATCGCCGGGCTCGACACGTGCTCCGAATCGATGCCATCCAGTGTGACACCGAGTGCTTCTGATATCGCCGGACCCAGCACTTCGTCTGAATCGGTGCCATCGAGCGTGACACCGAGTGCTTCTGATATCGCCGGACCCGGCACTTCGTCTGAATCGGTGCCGTCATCGAGCGTGAGTGGACCGTCGCTTCATCTGCGGACGCGTTTCTTAACGAAGGAAGAAATCGATGCGAATGCGAAACGTCGTGACGCCGTTCGCGCTGAACTCGAGTCTACGCCGGCGACGCAGAAGAAATTTCAACTGATGCAGCCGGCTCTTGCACCTGCAGTGACAAGTGAGGGCGAACATTTTTCGCTCGTTCAAATGAACATCTTTAACGTCGTGCTCAGCCGCACAGTGTGCAAAGAATGTTTGAAAGGTGCTATGACTGTCCGAGAGAGCACCAAGCTTGGACTTGCAACAAAACTTGAAGTCGTGTGCGCCTCTTGTGGCACCGTCGATAAATTATGGACATCACCCCGCAAAAAGGACACGCAGGCCTTCGATGTAAATGTCCGCGCCATAATGGCTATAAAGCAAATAGGCAAGGGGCAAACAGCTCTTAATGACTTTTGGGCTGCCATGAACGTCTCTTACAGAGGCTTCACCACAAGACGTTTCAAAAGCACTTGAAAGAGACGTTCAGGAAGCCAGTGGCCACCGCTTTGGAGAAGTTTTATGCTGATTCTGCCACAGCAGTGATCAAAACATATAAAGAAATGGACCCCAGCTTCTGCAAGGACATCACCGTAGTGTACGATGGCACATGGAATAAGCGGGGTCACACATCACACATCGGAGTGGGATCGGTAATTGACTTCTTTACAGGTCTCATCTTGGATGCTGTAGTTCTTTCAAACCACTGCCTTGGATGCCAAACAGGGCCCAAACCTGGAGATGCAGCATACGAAAGCTGGCAGAAGCACCACATTTGCCAGAAAAACACAGACGCAAAATCGAGAAGCATGGAAGTGGAGGCAGGCTTGACTCTCTTTGGGCGGTCTGTATCCAAGCATGGCCTGCGGCACACCACTCTTGTGTCCGACGGAGACAGCCGTACCTTCGCTGCCCTCACAGAAGAGAATGTGTACGGGCTAGTGCCAATTGTAAAAGAAGAATGTCTGAACCATGTTCAGAAAAGGATTGGAAGTGCTCTTCGAAACATTGTGCAGAAAAGTGATAAGCCACTGAGTGGGAAGGGGAAGCTGACTAAAGCCCTCATTGAAAAGCTGACAGGATATTATGGTTGGGCCCTGAGAAACAATTCAACTGACCTAACAGCCATGCAGCGTGCAGTGATGGCAACATATCACCACGTCACATCGACTGACCAGGACCCTCACCATGAACTTTGCCCAGAGGGGGCTCAATCGTGGTGCCGCCATAGAGCTGCAGAGGCAAAGCGTGAGCCACAGCCAAAACATAAACACAGCCTACGGGACTATGTCGCTGCAGCTATGCTGCCCATCTACGAAAGACTGTCACAAAAGTCGCTTCTTCAGCGCTGCCTGGGAGCGAAGATGCAAAATGCATCAGAATCATTCCACTCCATTCTGTGGTCTCTGATGCCGAAGGAACAACACTCATCCTTGATCGCGGTAGAAACAGCACTGCATGAAGCAGTGCTGCGCTACAATGCCGGCTGCTGCAAAGCAACCCAAGTGATATCGGACTCCATTGGACTTCAACCAGGTCATCTGGCCATCCAGCGAGCTCGTGAAAAAGACGCTTTACGCCTAAAAGAGAATTCTAAAAGACACCAAGAGAAGATGGAGGCCAGGCAAAAGAAGAAAAGTGTGCGCCAGGACACTTCTAGCTACTGTGCTGGAGCTTTTTGAAGAAAACACGTGTTTTGAACTTTCTCGGCCTGTTTTCTCGGAACGGATTTTTTTGCTAGTTGTGGTGCTGAGGAAAGCAAGAACTCGAAAACCGTTCATCAGATTTGTGTGCCGTTTTTTTTATTCTGTTCCTGAATGACCTTGCAAGGGCGTAACAAGCTCCTTTTTTTGAAAATTGGTGCTGTTAATTTATAATAAACAATTAATTTTTGATGAATCTGGTCATTACTGGTTACATCAAATTCAAAGTTGCGTGAAAATTTGGGGGGGGGGGGGGGGGGGAATTAAAAAAACGGCTTTGTAGCGCCCTGGGATAGCTATCAAGGAATGACCACTATGAATTTCAGCTTTCTACTATGTCCTGGGATTTCTCACGACTCTTCCTCAGGCACCCATGTGAAGCACCCAGTTAAACCTCAATAACTCTGGAACTAAGAAACACAGCTTCGTTAAACTTAGCAGTTGTGCTAGTTTTATTGTAGTGAGCAACCCATGAAAGTTTCATCCAGATATCTTAAAAAATAAAAAAGTTTGGTCTCCAGGGTGGCCTCCCCCCTTAAAGCCTAAGTAAGCTAAGACTAAGGCATGCTTATTTAAGTCAGTCAAGTTAAACATGGCCAAGTTAAGCTTAGTTTAGCCAATTTGTGGGGCCTAGCCTAATTAAGTTAGGAATAATTAAGGCAGGTTAACTAAAACTAATTATAAATCAGGCCTGCTAATTTAGCCAGGCTAATCTGGATTGAGCTGTTAATACACTGGTTGATTGGCTAATCCAGCCAGGCTAATCTGGATTGAGCTGTTAATACACTAGTTGATTGTTTATGTTACATTGATGTATGAGAGATTGCATAACATTCGTTGGTTTGTGGCATACATACCGCCCACGTCGATACCTAGCAGCACATCTGAATCCCTGTGACTAACGCGAAAGATCAACATTTAACCCTTGTGAAAGCTGAAGTAGTCAACATACAAAAGAGCACAGCATAAGCTGAATCCTTCACAAATAAAGCACCAACATGCACTCTACTTATTGGTACTTCACAAGCACTCATTCAAGGCCCCATCACTTCAGGAGAAAAATGCCAGTGTGTGTGCTCCAAAGTAATCGGGTAACCTACGCCTGTACTCATGCGTACACCACACAGCACTCCAGTAACACGAGAGGCATAGTTTGTAGCTTGAGCCGTAAACGCGGGAAGGCATTCAGTTTCCTACTGGCATGTCTGTCACTGCACCGAAAGCTGTAACTACCAGCACCAACTGTCAGCACTCGTTAGTGTCATGATGCAGTAGTTCACTTCACTGATCCCAGACACCAACACCATTGTCCCCTGCCAACCAAGGTGATGTGAGACATCAAAAGGGTGATGTGAGACATATAAAACGTGCTTATGAAGCCCCATTCATGAGCATTAGTAACACAGTTGCCCAGCACATTTTGTTGCGGACCAAGAGGTTGTGGGTTTGACCCTCAGGCCATCCAAATTAACACAACTTTTGCTTTTGCTTTGTCATCTTTTTATGTGCGCTTCATCGATTTTATCGGTATGAAACACCTTAGTTCCACTATATACAGTAGTGTGTGTTCAGGTAAGAAAGTCTGTGCATGACCCTTGAACAAACGCAGGTTGATCCGGTTTGCCACCGGGAGTTCCTCCGGTGGCAGGAGAAGCCTTGCATAACGGATCGGGAAGACATGTTTGTGTCGCGGCTGTACCGGGAGGACGTACTGCCGTGCCTGCACTTTCCGAACTGCCAGCTGGCTGCGCAGGTGCTGCGTGCCATTGAGGAGAATAGCATCACCATCGAGGCAGTCAATGCGGCGAATCCTTTTCCCCGGTAAGTAGCCAATGCAAAGAGTGGAAGAATTTTCAGCAGATCCGTCCGTTTTACTGCCTTGAAAGCAAAGCTGTTAAAGCTGGCAGTGAGACGTCCGTTAACGAAAAACCTCTCTCCTGCACCGTTGTATTAGCAACGGCCACAGCTGCATGCCACCTTTGCTGAAAACAGCCAAGCCACTGCCGAGCCGTTGCCATAGAAATCGCCCCTGTTTCTTACACCGGATATCAAGGACAGTGATTTCAACACATTCTGAATGGCAAGATGGCAAGATTTGTTTCTATTCCGGATTTGCCTGCCACCGTTCCATGGTGCTGCACCTTCAGCTAAGAACAGTGGATCCAATTGCTGCCAGTGTAGTGATACCCGTGCTGCAGCCTAACAAACTGAACGTCAACCTCATTCTCTGTGCCAAGCTTTGCTTAACCTAATGGGAACTTCACACATTTTTTTTTCTGCACATCAAGAAATGGCTAAATTAAAATGAAGTTGGGCTAGTTAAGGTTTGGTGCATGGTGGAGGGTATAAAAACAGCACCAGCACAGGAACTAAAGAAATAGAAATCAATCACACCCATTTATTTCTCTTCTTGTGTTCCCAGGTTTGTGCTATTTGAGACCTTCAACCTTCAAAAAATGGCTCATGTAACATACTATATCCAGAACAAATGTTGCAAGTAGGTTATCCAGTTTACAGTTTTGATTTTCCAGTCTAGCTTCGAGGTACCCTGTAGTAGAGGGTGTTAGCCTACCGATAAATTTTCAATGGGTTAGTTTCGCACATATTGAAAGCGAGCGGTGCCCTTTCAACATGGGCAACCTACAGAGACGCCTAAGTGCATTAGTGGCAGCATGTGGTTTCGTAAGGGTTTGCATTGGTTTTTGAGCACCAATGCATACTCCTGTATATTTTGCTGTATAAATTGTCACCAAAAATAGTGTAAAATATCTCAAGCAACTATTTTATATAATTTTCTGACCTCTCCCTAAATGCACAGAGGCATAAGTGCTGAAAGCCCATGTATGTAAATTTAGCTGCACATTAACGAACCCCAAGTGGTTCTAATTTCCGGAGCTCTTCAGTGCAGTGTCTCTAATATCATGTCTGGATTTTGGGACATTAAAGCCCAGCACTTATTATTATTAGAAATTGCTAGATGCACAAACCGAGAAACAAGACCATGCAAGAAGAGGTGCCCACAGAATTCTTTCATGTTTCTTCTTGTGTGGTGCTTGCTGCCTTTCGACATTCACGTCCAACAGATCACAAGAATACAGAGAATCAGTGAATCATTTAATGAAGCGTCTACATGATAAATCATAGTCAATGTAAAATTTTTGTTAACAGTGCATAGACAGAAAATAATTTATGTATAAAAAGTCGCCGAACCAAATCTGAATAATTGTTGCTTCCAAAAGCATGACATGACTGTGACAAGTGGCATATAGTGGGTGAATATTCAAATTTCTTCTACCCGGGGTGCTTTAGTGTGGTCCTAATAAGCCCACAGGTCTATAGCATTATCTCGAAGTGTAGCTGCCATGGCTGGCATTCAAACCTTCAGTCTTTGAATCGGCTGTCGGGTGCCATCTCTGCTAGACCAACACTGCAGATGCTTATCAATAGAAGTGGTCTTGTAGGGTCCATGCTGCGTGCATTGGAATATCTGGCTAGTGAGACTAGGGCAGAGTTGTTGACAGATGGCGTTTTTATACCATTTTGAGTGAAATGTTTGGGTTCTTCAAGACCTTCCATGCCATGAGAGAAATTAGTTCATTCCCGCATTTGTTGTAAAAGTAATTCCAGCTCAGTCTGTCAGTGGTAGTTTATTTTCGAGCACTGCCTCGGTAGGGTTGCATTTATTTGCATAGGTTGTCAATCTTTTGCTAGTTGGCAGCACAGAGTTAGTTTGGGTTGGGCAAGCAGGAATGATTTTATTCTTGTGGAGGAAGTGAAACATTTTGGCAACAATAGCCTTAAAAATGATTCGCCATTTCTAGTGATAACTTGGGACAGCAGCATGGCACGGTAAAGGTTGGCTGTACTCACTCGGTTATAGCGCAAACACAAATATAACACAATTTGTGACTTCTCATCTCATTCAGGAAGATGTATAGTATTTCAATGTTTGATTGTAATGCGGGGTAATAATCTTCAGGTAGTAGAAAAATTTAAAAAAAAAGACTCTTGCTACATTTCATTAAACACAGCAGGACTGCTCTTTTGTGTTTCCTTGAATGGCACCCGAGTGATGACGATTGTGCGCAGGCGCTGCTCTCTGCTGGAGGCGTCGCGTGTTTGCCAGTACCGCATGCGACTGGGCGACTCTGGCTCGGCCTGGTACCACATCTCGCAGCTGTGCCGAAATCGGGTAATGTCCCAACTCTGGCACGTCGTACTGATTTTTGTGGCTTTAGTTGTGCACTGAGTGCATCGCAGAAAGCGACCCATGTCACATCTGCATGACTGTCACGTCGAGGCAGTAATTCATGCTCATTATATCCAAAGATTTGCTGTATAGGTATATTTCTAACACTATGTCTATTGCAAAACTGTTCTTCATTTGCTTCGTTATAACCAATATTTTGTTATATCCTGCTTCATTATATCGAAGTACAGGTGTATCTGGGGCTGCATAACTCCGTGCAGCACCTACTGTTTGGCGTTGACTTGTGAGACGAAAAAAAAAAAAAAAAAAAACCTGCCTTGCAGTGAAGCCTAGAAAATAATGAAGTCTAGGAAGGTATAAGGGACATTAATTAGTTTGTTTCAAGTGTATCGTAGTCATTGTGATGTCTATGAGAAAAAAAGCGAAGTGGGAGAAAAGACAGTTTGCTTGGCGCCGACCGGGACTGAATTTGTAACCGTTGGATTATGTGCCCAGTAGGCACTGGGGGCAGTTGCTGCGAGCTGGAATTTATATCGAGCGATAAGCTGACCTTATGCCTTCACGTACTACCTGACGAGATATGGTCTATTATGCGCTACTTGATATTGCGGATGTAGCTCAATTGATAAGGGCATCGTGTGCGTAATCCGGAGTTTGCAGGTTCGGTCAATGCCTGCGGAAAGTTGCAATTTCGTCCATATTACTTTTTGTTTTACATCTATATCACAAATCCTACAATACGATTAAAATAGTCTAATTAAAAGATAGTCTATACCTTTCCTGGCTTCATTATCTGCTGGTTTTCATTAATGGTATACTGACACGATTTTAAGAAATACCAAAGGCACATTGTTTGTTTCCCTGGTACGCAGTGTTAACCCTGTCCAACACAACGGAGATGGCCAATGCACATAAATATTTTCTTTAAATTCAAAGTTTTCATTGCTGACCATTAGCAGCCAACCCCACTGTAGTGGAGATTATCTCAACGAGTCAACGCAGTACCACTGTCCTGCATCCAGCCTAAATTGCATAAATCGCTGTGAGGGTCGCTGGAGATAAGGCACTCTTCGCTGTTTCTTGTACCACGAGCAGATTGCAGATCTGCTGCGAGTACGTCACGAACGGCTGTCTTCCTTCGATGTCACACTGTCATAACACGTCACAGAGAAGTCGGCACCTTGGTATTGAAACCGATACTGTCTTTCAAGGTAGCGGTGAAAAATACATGCGTTGCATTCCCAGGAAACAGCACTCTCTTTATGGTTCTCGAAACCTGTTTAAATAATTTAGAGCAACAATCCCAAAATAATTTTGAATTGATGTCAGTACTCCTTCAAGGTTGTTTCAGAAAAAACAAGCTTTCAAAAGTTGTTTGTCTCGATTCTTGCAATGAAGCGCGTTACTGCGCCCTTTTTCTCTTTTGTGGAATTGCCTGTATCCCACACTCTTGAAGTGTTTTGTGCACCTCTTTAGATAAATATTCGGGTTCAACTCTAGAGTCGTCAGCATAATTCGCGTTTTCCTTACGCAACAAAAAAGAAAACTTGTGTTAAGCGCTGCTTGAGCCCCCTCTTGGGCTTGTCGAAACAACACATCCTACTAACAGCTAATACTGCTGTGAACCGTTCCGCAAATTTTGTAGTCGAGCACGGCTCGCAGAGTTCAAAAGGCAATGTTCCTACTTTCTCTAGCATTCTATTTTTACTCAGAGGGCGCATCTCACTAACTTTGTTGAGCACTAGATGTACAGACGAGTGCATTGTTAAAGGGAACACTTATGTACAAGTCTTAACCGAACGTTGCTCTCTCATGAAAGCCTCAAGGCTTAGCTTTCCCTAAGACTACTGGTGTTCGACAGTTCTGGCTCCTTTTGACAAACTAGGGTCGCGTCTGAACAACATCTACTCAACCGTTGGCTGTTAAGGGACCAACAATATGGAAAGTGCTCATTCCGGTGTTCCCTTTAACAGTGGGCTATACTGTACATCGTCAAACAGCACATAACCACTACAGGCTGTTAGGGGACACGAATCGGGAGCAGCATTTGTACCAGATGCACTCCTTGCCATAATGTGTTGCCACATGGCTGAGTCGCACTCTAGGTGCAAAAATTGCACAACAGCTACACTAGTGTGCAGAGAAGTCGCAACAGGAATGGGCAGTCGTGTTACATGATGTGCGCTGATGTAACTTCTTTCCCCCACACTTAGTCTTCCCTGCGTAGGTTCCTGGTCAGGGTGAAAGAAGAAAGTGCTTAAAGCGCACTTCAAATCTCTCCAACTCTGCTCATTCCTGATCGAGTCGAGACACTTCTAATGCAATCAGTTCATGAAGCAATAAACTCCAATACTTATTTAATTTGATGATTACTCAGAAAAGTGGCTAAGAACCATTTGATAAAGCCCCTGCGTACACCTCAATCTGGACAGAATTGCGGCTGCACAAGCTGGTAAGGATTTGTAATGAATATAAGCAAAAGAGTACAAAGTGAACGAGGACAAAGAAACAGCGGACACATGAGCGGTGTTGCGTTCACCGTTTCTTTAGTCCTCGTCGATCTTTTCTGTTCTTGCTTATATTCACTATCGATCTAAATAGTTGTCCAAAGACTCCTTCCTCTATCAAGGAGTGGTTGTCCAGTTTGTTAGCAGCAGCCAGTGCTTAGAAGTTAGTGGCTCCATGTTTCCTGCTCTTGCTGTGTTCATCTGCCTATGTAAATGCAGGTACAGCTCATTGCTTTTGTCTAGCAGTGTGCCTTTGCGTTATGGATGTTGCATCGTGGTGGCCAAGCCACTTGGCCAGTGCCATGTGTGTGGTCAACACGGTGCCAATACATCTGAGTGCACTCTGAATATAAAATTCATCGAATCTCTTGCAGATAACGTCGGTATGCGACCTCTTCTGCTATTTGCGTTACATACAGCAGGGCCTCGTTCGCAGCAGCTGTAAGTCTCGTATTTTTCCATTCCTCGACCCAGATTGTTTTTGGTTTCTATTGAAAATACTTCTGATAATTTGATTGCTCTTAATTAGTAAGCTGTTTCACCATGATGACCCCCCTAAAAGCTCTACCCACTCGCTGTATTATCTTCATATGAACCCGCTACTGTTGATCATAAAGCCTGCCGTTTGTTAATGATTTGAAGTTGACTACCTATTCTATCATAGGTTTAATAGGGGTAGTATTCATCTTGTTGACGTCAAGGGGGGAGGTGAAAACCTACTAAATAACGTATTGTCTTCCACTGAAAATGACAATTAATTGCCCACTGTAAACAATGCATTCAGTGATATAGGAGCTCGGATTGAATGACTGCCATATTTGTCCAGTAATAATGAGCACATTTGTTTTCTCAGAAAAGTTTGATAATTGTCCTTGCCTAAATATTCTACGCAACGCCAAATTTTTGTTTACGCTTTTGGCAACGTTTGCAATAACATAGTGAAAGACCAGAGTGGAAGCTTGGGCTAGTTGGTGCGTAGTCATATTTGCAAGATGTTTCAGCGCGCGAACAAAGGAAAAAAAGACAGGGTAGACAGAAAGAGCGCTGAACCAGCTTACTTGAGAAACTATCGAAGCCGAAAAAATACACGTGCTAGGAGATAAATGCGTAAGCACTTCATCGGTTGCTTTATCACAGGCTGAACGTGATTACCTGGCTGGGCTTTGAGGCAATAGAGGACCCGTCACAATAAAAAAAACGCACTCTTTCTGTCTACCCTGTCCTTTAATGCTTTGTTCGCGCGCTGAAACATCTTGCATACATAGCGAACTAATGTCTTGGAGTACCCAGGGATTGAGATTCAAAATAACATTTTTAATGCAGTGACTGCTATGTGCGATTGCTTGTGATGCCTGCAAATGTTGCTGTGAACGATAATATTGGAACTGATGCAAGTGTTGAATTCGATTTGGAATAGCACCGATATGACATGATGTAGGCGTTGAAACCGAAAGCATGTGTACTACTTAGTCGTCAATTTTCGCTTTTCGATTCAAGAGTGAGTACTATTCGTTGTAGTACTACCTCTCTCTTCTCTTTCTTGTAATTTCGTTCCTCCGTAATATTTTATCCAATCCACGCGTGGCTGTTTACTCCTTCGTGTGTGAAATTTTAATTGATTGGTAAGTCTTTTTTTTTATTTCCATTTTTTGGAACCTCAGCCCAAGAGATGTATTGGGAGGTGATGCGGCGAAGGCGCTCCATTGCGCTGGCGCGCCTGGGTCTACCACCTTGCTGAAGCTGCAGCCCGGCTGCGCGTCTCGAGTGCTGTACATAGGACCAATTTTAGAGACTCCTGCAAACACCTACACAGCGTGCGGGCTTGTCCCGCACGCTGCTCGTGGCGGACAGGCCCGGCGTGATCCTCCTGGAATTGCCTGCGCACGCACTCAGTGCGTGTCTATTTACGTGTACATATATGTATGTATGTGTCTTAAGTACGTGAATCTATTGTGTATATTTGGAGTGCATGTATTGTGCAGGTGCGTCATGTATTTAGCGGGATTACGAGAGCTTTAGATGCAGGTGTACACGTGTAAACGTGCTGCTAATAGAATATGCCTAATCACGGTCATTTTTAATTGAAAACCACATTGATGTTATGGCAGTGTATTGTCGCAGCCGTAGACTCGCTGTGTAAAAGAAACGATAGATGAAAGCACGTAGTATATAAGACTTGACGAAAAAGGTATCCGGTGTTTATACAATCGGATACGCTTATTTTTAACTAATGTAATCCTGTATACTGTTTCGGTGAATAGATTTCTACGCATGCGCACGATGTGTAACCATTTGGCGAAAAATGTAGTTTATTGTGCGAATTTCAAGTGATGACCACAATCAGTGTTACATCTCGCCTATGCTGCTTTGTAATAGTGTTTACGTGTTTGAATAGCTGATGTATGTGAAGGACTGGATATTCAAGAAAGGCCACACAGCCCCAACATGGAACTCTTTGTGATGAACGTGAAAATTAGAATTCACTGCATCTAGTAGTATTTATTCAAAGGATTAAACTATGAAAAGACTGTCACTCCAGCTTTCTGGTACATTCAGATTTCCGAAGCAAAAGTGCGAATTTCGTTGCGGACAGTGAGCTAGGCATTATGCATTTCATCCCGCAGAAGTGTCCCCGCGGCGATGCGTCGAGCATGTACGTCTAGTATTCGCACCTTGATAGAGATATTACTTCAGCAGCAATTTTTTATCTTTTTGTTCACCTTCTCTTCTGACCATGATCTTAATCTAAAGGTATGCATTGCGCTGGGAGGCAAAGTTTGAGAACCTTGTGTTGTGATATGTCGGTGGTAGCAGTAATGATTAGAAAAATATTTTTAAGAGTAATTATTTACAATGTTTTAAAAGAGCATTAATTAGACATTTTAGAGATTTATTATTTACATAATTTTACACCGCGTTTCTTCAAAATGAAGAAACGGCTCACTTTTATTATTTTTACCCCGCTTTTGTTTGTGCTGTACATTCAAACGCTACATTTGGAGCACATTTTATTCTGATGTTTGTTTATTTGCCTTTGAGCGAGGCTCCTTTTATGTGCGACTTTTTTCACATGACACGTATTACACGTCACGCTCATTACACTTAACGATTGCACGCTGTTGCCCATGTCGAACGTTCCCATGTCTGCTTTTGTTGGTATTTGTAAGTGAGAAAGCACTACTGTTAGTCGCACTGTGCAGATGGAATTTTTCGCATTAATAGCTACAAATTTATGTTCAAGTGCACTCAACAATGCCTATTCAGTCATCGCATTGCTGGAATGCATGTATCTGTTGCTTGCAAGAGTTGCTATTGCATTTAAAAAGAGCAATGTTACCTGAAATTACTACAAAATTCAGATGACGGATGTCAGAATCATAATAATTGGCAGTGATAGCACTGCTGCTGTGTACAGCCACTGGAAGAAGCTGAGGGCTACACTCAAATGAGAGAAGGGAGGCAGCATGAAGATGGAAATTAGTAATAATGAGAGGCGTCAGAGCGGAGAGCTCCAGAAATCTTCACCAGCTAAGATTCTTTAAGGTGCATCCAAATCTAAGTATTATATGAGCCTCGAGCATTTTTCGGCACCTCCACTGAAAATGCAGCCGCCGCGGCAGAGATTCGAATCCAGTGACCAGCGGGGCGACTGTCTTGCACCATAACCACTTGATCACTGCGTCGAGTTGTGGCGAAAATTGCCCCAGTTATAAGCTAAGCTCCCTCTATTGGTTGAAAATGGTCTATAGAAATGTCGCCAGTATTTATTTCATCACTGATAATTCTTTATATAAAGGTTTGAGTGTATACTCAAGCCTCAATGTAACAAAGTTGCATCTAGCAAGAAAATGAGTTTGCTATAGTCACAAATTTGTTATAAATGCTATTCCTAACACTTTAACTATTATAAGACTATTGTTCATTTACTTCATTATAACTGATATTTCCTTATATCCGTGTTCGTTATATTGAAGTTTGAGTGTATCTAGAGTTGGTCTAGAATTATATGCAGTTCAACCTGGATATAACGAAATTGATGAATTCCTGGAAAAATTCGTTGTGAAGAGCGATTTTTTTATATGCAGGCTCAGTACGAAAATTTGGAAAATGAATGCGCAAATTAAGCAAAAGAGGGATTGAAGGCAGAGCTAATCCAAAACACTCTTTTTACAGTAAAAGAATATCTTATTATTGCGATAACAATTATATGGACACTCTCGGCAGTTTTTTTGCCATCGCCGCAATGTTCCGTAACAAGTACAAATTGATAACATGCTCCCGCGCATATTATTTTCAGAGCGGGTAAAACCGCACAAGCGGTGTTGAAGCAAAGATCGAATGAGGTGGCCCACCCCTACTGACTGGAAAGCGCACAAGATAACATCTCTCGCGTGTCAGAACTGCCGTCGAATGCTCAAACAGAAAGTAGACGACCTGTCTTGAACGAGCATGAAACAACGCGGGGAGCGGGGGTCGCTAGAGTAGCTACAATGAACTTGTATTTTAAGGCAGTTGCGATCACTTGCACGCTTGCTATCTCGGCGAGTATCAGTGAGGTTTTAATGCGAAGGGACTGTATAAAAAGAGCACTTCTCTCTGAAGCGGCCATATTTGCTCACACCAGCGTTTTGTAGGAGTTCCACGATATCGAATTCAAAAAGATTCATTGATATGTGGGGTTTAACTGTCCCAAAACCACCATATGATTATGAGAAACGCCGTAGTGAAGGGCTTCGGCGAATTTCGACCACCTGGGGTTCTTTAACGTGCAACCAAATCTGAGCACACAGGCCTACATTTCCACCTCCGTCGGAAATGCAGCCGCTCAGCAGCCGAGTACCTTAGCCACTAGACCACTGCGGTGGGGCGGATTCAAAAGTGTTGGCTGCCAGCCTTACGTCTTATAACATTATGATTTTTTGCTGTCAGGTTCATTGCATTACATTGAACGCACCGCCGTGTTGCCTGAACTAATCGGATAATCATGATAGCTGCCAGCCTGCGAACTCGCGCGCGGTGCAAGACGGAAACGTGTGACGGGTCCCCCTCTTGAAGACTTGTCGTCACCGTGGTCTCTGACAGTTTTCATCAGCGTCTAATCTGACAACCCCTCGGTGGTGATGACACGATTGCCCGAAACTAAGAAAAGTGACAGTTTTGCCGCAAAGACGAAGCAATGATTGCGATAGCAACAACTTGGAATGTAACGCTGAGAGTGGCAAGCAGATCGGAACGTGCAGCGCGATTCTCAAGCACAAATGACGCATGCAAACAACATACAGAGGACGAGAGGGAACTAACAACGTTTACCGCTCGACACTTAACGCGCTGTTTAAACAAAAATGAGGCACGAAATGCAATTACAAGTACAGATGTGAGTGCGAACTAACCAGTGCCCCAGTTGTTACATCACTGTGTTTGAAAAGCGCACTCTTTTCACAAACGGCGCCTGTCCAGCGAGTGAAGTGATCTTTGTGTGCCCGGCAACTGAACGCAATCGTTCCGATCAAAGTCGAAGGCGCGCGGTTCTCCCCACCGAAGGATAAGCGGGCGCGCACAAGCATCTACCCTCCCCCCATACCATTCGCGGGACAAAGTACGCGTGGGAGATCAGCGCGCATCGGCGAATCGTGATGAACTGGGCGCCGATTGCGGGCGGCTTTTTTTTTTCTTGCTTGAGTTTTCACACACACACACACATATATATATATAGATACGTATACACATGCTGTGAATGATGGCAGCAGCCACAAAAAACCAGCCAAGACTTCATATAATTGCTAGCACAATAACAAAAAAGCAAAGTAGAACGTCGTCGGGCTCCACACCATGCGCGCATAGTGAAACTATGCACACGCACACGGCGTCGAAGACGAAGCGCGAACGACAGGGACACAGACACAAATACCGTGAAAAACTATTTAATAAAGCACCCTCCATATGAAGCGCGGCCCCACATATGTCACGCTAAGAGCGTGGCACTCCCAACACGCAAAAGTAGTATTTTTTTTTTTTTTTTTCGGTTTATAGTAGGAGGGTTGTTAGGGCACACTCGCGCATGCACCTGCGGTGGCGAGAACAGCGGCAGTGCCGGCTCGTGGGGTGCAGGCCTGCCAGTGCCTGTCCACCTGCACGAACGTGGCCTGCGTGCCCGCCGCCTCCGCTTCGCACTTCGTCGGCAGTGGGGATGCCGCGGAAGATGCATGCTCGTACAAAAATGCCAAAATGTGGAGCAAAATGTCTAGATTGCCCATGGGGAAAGTTCATTATATCAAGGTTCTTTCTAGCTGGTACTTTGTTACATAAAGGTCGCAAATACATGTGCTACAGGGAGAAACGACGGGGAATAGAAAAACTCCGTTACATCGAAGAACTCGTTATATAGAGGTTCGTTACAAGCAGGATTAACTGTAGTAGATCTAACTGGTAGGGATACTTAATTTTTTTTACTTACAGAGCGTTTTATCAAACGTACAAAACTGCACAAGTTTTATTTTGTACAATAGCGTCTGCTTTAGCGAGCACTTCTTTCCAGGTGTAATCAACCACTGATATTCACCGGAGGCGTTCACCTCATGGCGGCCAGAGGCAAATGGAAGTATCAACTCCTCAGTGGTGCAGATTAGGAGATTAGATAAGCAAGTAAAAGTAGCATACTTGGTGGGGGGGGGGGGGGGGAGAGCAAGGAAGATATCCGTAAAATCATAGTAGTCGGTGTGCCGGTGAAGGTGACACTATGCTTTATAGAAACGGAGGCTTGTTTGGAGAAAGGCACTGTGTGCTCTAACGTAGCCTGTGGAACACGCAGCTTAAAAAGCTCTCATAGGGGCAAACTTGTTGCCCCCATGTTTCATATCAAATGTGGATAAAGCTAGCCATCATCAGCCTCTCCACATCTTCGATTCTTTTATGTTCTTGTTAGTGTTCTATTATACAATACTCCCACTAAACTGAAATCTGCTGAAAATTAAACAGCTGCCTTCAGCACGATAGGTTTCACGCTTAGATTCTCGACCCTCGTTCATCTCTCAGTGAAGGGAACTCCTGTTAAGCTGCTGTCTCAGTTAAACGAAACACATTTTTCTGGTTCCATTTAACGAGGGTCTGCTGTATTGGGCAATTCTGTGACGAGGCCATTGCTCGATATGGTATCAGAAAGCACTTATTTTGTGCACATGTTTATATATAAAGGGACGGTATATTGGTGCCATTATAGTGCTACTAATTTTAGAGAATGCAGCGCTTGTACATATGTATTTGTATGTGTCAATCTCCTGCAAAAGTGTACTGTCTCTGCAAATGTCAAGTTGGTATGAATATTCACTTTTGTGTACATCGTTATCAGTCAAAGCTGAGTCTTTGGTGGACTTGTCTGTGCAGTAATATTTAGTTGGTGCTTGACAGAAAAGCTTTATTGTATTTGTGACAACGTTGTCTTGTTTATGTGTTCTACCCTTCGTCTGGTGCCTGTAATTTATGTTTAACGTGCAACATGCTCAGGTTAGCCAGTAAGTTCTGTTCTAAAAGGACTACGATTGATTCTGTGTGCGAGCGTCGTATGAGCTTCTTAACATCTTGTGCCTCCACAGACTGTCTTATGCTAAGATGCACCCTTGGCAATGCCTTCTTTTTCAATATTTCTGCACAAGGTCACTCTGTAATTGTTCACTGTTATGTTTTGTATACTTGTTAAATAATGATCATACAAAGTAACTTTGCAGAGCGATAACAACATACTGAATTTTGACACTATCAACACCAACAGTATTTATATGTCATCCATACAATTAAGGAACTTTGTGTGATCTTTCAAGGGCGGATAAAAAAAAACAAAACACTTTACTAGATCCAAAATGCAAATCTCATCATAGTAGGTTGATATAAATCGTCAGTGCAAGGATTGGCAGCTGTTCAATGATATGGGTTCAATTCCTGACACTGTGCCCACATTTCAATGGGGTTGATAGGCAGCAATATGGCTGCACTTCCATTTAGGTGCATGTTAAATAACCCTAGTTAGACAAAATCTCAAATTATTGTATAATAGTTTTTGGGAACAATACTAGCACACATTTCTAGAGTATGTCAAGAAGTAACATTGTGGCAACATTTCATCAACAATTGGTGCTGCTAAATAAGCTGCATCTGATGAGTGTGGAACATTAATGGAAGACTGGGACAAGGATTGTCGATTCCAAATAAAACAGTCTCTTTTTTCTTCTCTTGTCATATGGGGAAGGTTCTCGTTAGGTATCCAGTTGAGATCGCATTCAATTTTTTCTTTGCACCTCGCATTGCTGCTCGGATACTTCATCTACTGGCTTATACTATTTTGCACGTTGCAAGAGTCGTTGGGTTTGATATGCCGCATGTATTGAAGAGTTCAGTGATGCGTGATGTTAGAGTGGATCACATTGCCAAGCCAACAGTTTGAACTGCAACGGTAACCTTCACTGGATCCTTTTCCTCAGTGAATGATTTAGAGGAGTAGGCATAACATTAAGGGCCCGTGTGGTCAGCGAGTTACACAGAATGGACGGGATTGTGGTCGATTTTTTTGTAAATGCTTCTATTCTTGAGAGAAAATGTAATCTTTTTAGCAAATGCACCTATGCATCTAGGCCTAAGTATACACGGAGTGGCACTTGTACCCCCGAAACATGTATATTTGGAGCTACAATGATTTTAGCGCAGGAGGAGCTAACTGCCATCAATTTCATAGAGGCAAGATGTCCTCTGTGTGTTTTTTCATTCTGTGAGTGTACCTAGGATGGAACTGCTGGTATGCCACGATTACCTACAATACTTGTAGACTGTGTATAACCTGAAGGGTAACTTGTACATACTTAGAAACTTTTGGAGGGACCCAATGCATCTTTACAAAGTGTTAATTGTTGAAGTTGTGACTGTTGTATTTGGGTTTACTTTCTGTGTGCAATGTGCAAAACGCACATATCTTTAGCCGTATATTTATATATATATATATATATATATATATATATATATATATATATATATATATATATATATATATATATATATATATATATATATATATATATATATGGGATCTAACAGACAATAATGCCAAGGAATGTATGGGGGAAGTTATTAGAACAAATGTAATGTAAATAAGAAGAAAGAAAAGTGGGTGAAAAAACACCGCATTATTCGAAGGTCGTAGGTTCGATTCCTGCTCACAGCTGGTTGTTTTTTTCACCCACTTTTCTTTCTTCTTATTTACATTACATTTGTTCTAATAACTTCCCCTATACATTCCTTGGCATTATTGTCTGTTAGATCTCATTATTATTGTGTCAAAACACAGAAAAACGAGCCCTTAGGTATATACCTCTTTCCCTTTATATATATATATATATATATATATATATATATATATATATATATATATATATATATATATATATATATATAGGATATGGCACAACGGGAGCGTTGTCAACAAGGATAAATATATTTATTTCCCAACAGTTTCGGGAGGGGACCTCCCTTCATCAGGGGATGAGTTATGTATAACTCATCCCCTGATGAAGGGAGGTCCCCTCCCGAAACTGTTGGGAAATAAATATATTTATCCTTGTTGACAAC